TGTTAAAAGCCCTGGTCTACGCAAACTTACTCCAGCTGCAAGATTAGATCTAAATGCATCTCCCACACAGCTTGACATTGAACTCTGCAAAAACTCGGGGCTATAACCAGAATGCGTCGTATGCGGGCTCATTATTAGGGGAATGATATTCTCTGGTTAGTGGAAGGCTTGGAGTAATCAAGGGCTCCCAGTGGATTCCCTACTGCCCTGACTGGGAAAATAACAGACAGGGCTGTGGGACAAGCTGTCACCAGGGAATTTCAGCAGTAGATAGTATGGGCTAAAAGGCGTGTGCAAGAGGCCTAGCCCCCAGTAACTAGAAATGAAAGCTTTGAACTTCAGAACAGTGTACCTGAGAGGGGTGATTGCAGAAGGCCTGGTCCGTTTGGCCACTTCTCTAGTGCAGAAGTTTGGGGGCTCCTCACCCCCCGACATCTGAAGTTTCTCAGGTAGCAGCATGGCAACTTGGCCATTTTCCACACATGCTCTCTCTAGACTCCTCTGGCTGAGGTTAAGCGCGCTGGGCCAGCCCACAGACACCAAGGTGCGGATGCTGCAGGGTGGGCAGTGGTCTAAACAGGTGCTGCCATTGCGAAGGAACTTGGCAGAGATGCGAGTTGTCTATGTAGACCACAAGCCACCCAGCTCGGATGAGCACCTACATAAAAGGTGCATGAATGTGTGCCTGCCCTGTGTAATCCAGATGGTGCTGTGCTCCACTGGACACAAAGGCCCAAGGCTGCGTGTGATTCCCATGTTGCTAGGTGTGTATACAAAAGCCCTTCCCAGGACTTAGTCCCAGGGCATCGTCATTACCTTACCTCATGAGCAGCGTGTAACTCACAGGAAGCCCATTGTTGTGACTCGTTCAACACAAAATGAGTTAAAGTGAAAAGAATAGACCGTCTTTTTGCTTATGTTCCAGTTAAAATTGTTTTAATTGGTCTGTACGTGGTACTTACGTTGATCTTGGGCCCTTAGTGCTTACACGTATTGCATCTTGATCAATTTTGCTCACTCCTTCACCAAGTCCCTTTCCCAACTCCACAGAGTCCACCTCCTTGTTATCTAACATTTTTATTTTGCTCTTTACATCATTTCTATTTTGGTGTCAGTATTAATATTCTAGCTACTAAATGTTGTCTTTTTTTTGTTTGGTGGTACTGGGGATCAAACTGAGGACTTGCACTTGCCAGCCAGGAGTGGCACTAAATGATCTTCTCATAAACAGTTATCTACTTTAGGCCTTGTGTTATCGAGAGCCAGTCACCACAAAAATCTTTAGATCTACAAATTAGAGGCCAGTGCCCAGGTTTGAAATCCAGTAATGAGGTTTTTTTTTTGTTTGTTTTTTTATGGTACCGGGGATTGAACTTGGGACCTTGTGCTTATGAGGCAGGCGGTGGAATCACTGAGCTAAATCCCCAGCCCAGTAGTAAAGTTTTAATGGTCCAGTATTCATGTAAAACATAGATTTAAAAAAAGGTTATTCCTTGATTATGAGTAAAATTTTAAAAATTAGATTTTTTATTAATAAAATAGAAACCTATTTACTTTTTCATTAGCCTGACCCCTATAGCATACTAGTTGCAGTCCACATGGCCCTTCTCTTTGACAGGATCTGCTTATTTTATAAGAACTTTTTCAGCAGACGTTTCATGTTCCAAACATCTCTAATATCCTGGGGACTCCACTGTACTGTTGGCTTTACCCTTCTTCATATACTGCCTCATCAGACAAACTACCTGGCCTCCCAGGCCTCTCTAAAATCTGGGTGGAACCCTCCATGAACCCCATAGTTCTTGCATTCTGCAAACCTGTAAAACCAGCACTATGTGGATAATTCTAAGGTCTGCTGCCAGCTCCATCAGTAGCCAGGCTACCTTGGATCATGGCTGCAGAGGTCTCTGAGTGCCTAGTTGGATGAGCAAAATGAAATGAATCCCACAGAGCCAATTCCCTAGCTGGCCCTTCTCAGGCAGACTTCCCAGTGACTCTCTTTTCAAAGAAAAGCTTTATATTTTTGCACCCTTGAACCTATGAAGGGTATGGCCTTACTGATTCCTGAGATGCTTTCAGGCCATCTTTCCTATTGTTCTGATGCAAAGTACTAGGCTTCTTTTTAATGTTAATCTTTTTAGCAGCCATCCTTTCCTTTGCCCCATCTTTGTAGGAGAATCTCCTTACAAAACTGCAAAGTTTTCTTATCTGCTTTTTGTTCTTGATTCTCACTACAGATCTGATTAAAAGCAACCTCTGATAGCAATGCCACAATATGAACTTTGGGCTGTCGTGAAATTTTTCTTCACCAGATTAATGGGTCCACTGCCCTAATACAAGTTTCCTGTAAAGTCTCAAGACATGAGCAAAACGAAGGCAAATTTCTGCTGTGTCATAACACACATGTCTTCTAGTCCAACTACCAATGGAATGTTGCTCTGAAGTTGAAACTTGGCATGGTGGCACACACCTATAATTCCAGTACTGAGGAGGCTGAGGCAGGAGGATCACTGAATTTGAGGCCAGCCTGATCTCCATAGCGATACCCTGTCCCAACAACCCAAACAAACAAAAAGCCCAAACCCAAACCAAACCCAAAACTGTCAAGCCTTGCCTTTACTGTTGGCATTCTTACAATATTCTGGTCTTCAGAACTCTGACCAGAATATTCCATCAAGCAAGTCATATTGCATTCTTGGGTTTTTCTAGCCAGCATCTCAAAAACAACAACAACAACAACAACAACAAACAAAACTTCTCCCACAAACCAAATCCAAAGGGTTCTAAATAACATGGTCAGGCAAAAATCACAGCAAAGACCCCACTTCTCCAGGCCAATGGTCTGTCTTATCCACCTTTGCACAGCTGAAACAAAACACCTAACACCCACAAGTACAAGTTAAAGAAAGAGAAGTTATTTTGGAGGAAGGAAAAGGAGGAGAAAAGAGGAAGAGGAGGAGGAAAAGAGGCGGCAAGCTGGGGACGAGTGCAACCTTCCCGGTTATACCCTCTTGATCCAACTCTAACCAGGGTACACTGTCGAGAGCCATTCTGCATTAAAGTATGACTGTAGCTAAGGCCCAAAGTCACCTTGCCCATGCGCCAGCTAGGTTATGTGGAAACGACTTTTGCCTCTGGTCACAAGTTGAGGCCTCAGTGGTCTTGTGATACTGTAATGTTCACGGGCGAGTGTACATCGGCTGAAGAAGACATCCGTGTTCTTTGAGAACCGAGCAGTAATACACAAAAGAGAGAAAGGTTTCACCTGGGGGAAAGGACGACTTCATTAGCCTGCTGTCTTATCCCACCTACTGTTGTAAGAATGCTCTCTCCTTTCTGTCCTCATCAATATAAGACCCTCAGCGACCTAAGATCCTCATTAACGTAGGATAACTGCCTTCCCCTAGGTCACCTGCTACTTCCTCCAATTATTTTGTGTACCGAGTAACTAATGGCTAGCATTTGCCCTCTCTGCTGCCCTGACCTTCTGGCCCCTATGTACTTTGGCATTACACAAATCTCTGTGGTCTTTGTTTGTTTGTTTGTTTTTTGAGACAGGGCCTCACTAGTTGAAACTGACCTGGAACTCTGTGTAGCCCAGGCTGGTCTCAAACTCGCAGTGATCCTCCTGCCTCAGCCTCCCGAGTGCTGGGATTACAGGCATGTGCCACCATGCCTGGCCGGTCGTTCTTTAGCCCTTCTCATCCCTCTGGTTGGAACATTGATTGCCCTCTGGCAATGCACCACCTAACTGCAAGTCAGCTATGCATTTGTCAGTGAACTGGTTCCCACAAGTGGGCAACTGGAATTTAAAATAACATTTGTATTCCACATTAGCAAAGGTAATACACATTGCAAATCTATTTGTTTTTGTTTGTGTTGAAACAGGGTCTCACTATGTAGTTGAGACTGACCTGGCACTCACTACGTAGCCCAGGCTGGTCTCAAACTCGCAGTGATCCTCCTGCCTCAGCCTCCCGAGTGCTGGGATGACAGGCGTGCGCCAACATGCTTGGCTAGTTGCAGATATCTTGAACCACTTAAGCATAGTCCCATAGGCACCAGCTCCTTCACCCGCCTGTTTTGATATAGTCACTCTGCTTTGATCTCTGAGCTTAGAGTCCACAAAGGCCTGCATCTTTATTTATAAAGCAGTTCCCTCTCAGTGCATCACTCACAATTAGGTCCCAGTCATTGGCAACTCAATTGCGTCATAAGCCAGTGCACAGGACATACTGAGCTGACTTCCAGATCTATAGCTCCAAGTCGAGCAATCCTGAAGTCACGGCTTTGCTCCTCAACTTTCTTTTCATTTTCTTTGGGTACCGGAGATCGAACTCAGGACCTTGTGCTTGCTGGGCGGGTGCTGTGCTCCTGAGCTAAATCCCCAGCCCAAGACTTTGTTTCTTTTTTAAAGTTAATTTTATTGGTACATTTAAGGTACAAAATATAATGACCTGCATCAATGGAAATTTGCACCTTTACATAACCCATCTTGGTTCTTATTTTTTCCCCATTCCCCCGCCTTCCCTCCAACCCCTCCACCCCTCCCTATCTACAAAGACTTTGTTTCCATTTTTCCTTTTCTCATATTAATTCCGTGCCCTTCTTTCTTTTCCCCGACCCCTCAGACTTCCCCTTCCCCTTGCACCTTTCTTCCTATTTCACATTATCTATTAGACCTTTAATCCTTATTTGCACTTTCAGTTTCTCACACCAGAGAAACTATTCAGCATTTACACACCATGTCCCATTTATTTCACTTGAGTATGGCCTCAATGTGTGTCCTTTTAGCTATGCATGTCTCTAGTTTCCCATTCTTTATGGCTGAGTAGTGCTAGTCTCCCATTGATGGGCAGTGCAAGCTTTAACTATCACGAACTGTGCTGCTATGAACACGGGTGCGGCTATATCGCTGTGGTGCGATTCTTTTCATTCTTTGGGGAAGATGCCCAGCAGGGGAATCGCTGGGCCAAAGGGGACCCCCAACCCTAGTTCTTTGAGGTATCTCCAGCCTGATCTCCACAGTGGCTGCACCCTGGACTTTGTTTTCTTGAAAGCAGCATGGAGATAAGACAGAGCTGTCCTCCGAGCACTGTGCTGTTCCAGTGGGGTCACGTTCATGGGGAAGGAACGACGTGGCCCCGTTTTCAGGGGCGGTGTCGGTGGGTGTGGTGACAGCGGTGACAGCGACGCCGGTAGTGGGTATTGTCCAGGTGGATGCGGCGATGGTGGCTGTCAAGCTGCTGAACGTGACACGGGTGACGGTGACAGTGACGGTGAGGATCCCGCAGAGCAGAGCCGTCAGAAGCCCGCGCTGAAAACCGAAGTTCACCACGGATGTTTCTCTTGAAACCTGAATCAGACTTCACTGAACTCTTTTTTGAGCGCCGCTCTACGACGTGTGCCCTAAGAAGTGCCGCTTGATTACCCCATGTAAAGTGAGGGCACCGCCATCGATGATGCGGTTTCCTCCTCCTCAGGTGAAGGCGTCAAGGTCCCGAGAGGTCACGTCGCTTGCTTCAGGGTAACGGCGCTAGGAAAATGCAAAGCGCAGGATCAGAGAGAGTCTTCTTGAGTCCAAGGCACACGTGCAACGTTTTCAAGAGGTTTTGCTGCTGCACTCTGTGAGAGCAAGACAGGTAACATGGACAAGTGAGGCCGGTGATAGGAATGGAAGGAGACATTTCCCTGCTCTTTCCCCTTAAATACAAAGCCCACGAGCCATCCACCAGTTTACAATCGCTACTTAAGAAAACAGTGCCTAAGCCGGGCGTGGTGGTGCACACCTGTAATCCCAGCACTCTGGAGGCTGAGGCAGGAGGATCGCTGTGAGTTCGAGACCAGCCTGGGCTACATAGTGAGTTCCAGGTCAGTCTCAACTACATAGTGAGACCCTGTTTTAAAAAAACTAAAACACAAAACAAAAAGAAAATAGTGCCTATTTGAAAAACAGATTCTGTAGGTTCTGTTTGAAGCATTATACTTAGTTACGTCCTGCATGCTGCCCCTTCCTTGGATATTTGGTGCCTTTTTGATTTATATTCCTCTTGCCTGCAAAAAGAGTCTACTCTAAAGTATGCTATGGAAACTTGACAGAAGGAAACTTACTCAGATGAGGACCGTTATTTGTTTCTTTTTCTTTTTTCTTTGTTTTTGCAGCACTGCAGATCGAACTCAGGACCTTGCGCTGGTAAAGCAGGCCCAGTGCCACTGAGCTACATCCCCGGCCCAGAGGCCAGTTATGTCTTGGGCCCCATTTGAAACTAATGTGCTTATATAAAAGAGGTAATATATATTTTGGAGCAGCCTAGGCCTTCAACAATGATTTAGAGAGACCCCAGAACCATTACGCTTTACACAACACAGAGAGAGATGCAGAGGTCGTAAGAATTGAATCAAGTTCAGCAACATCGTACTACAAGCAGCACCTGATATCTTATCACTAGAGTTCCTTTCTTTGCGATTTCACGAGTGCTTCTTCAGTGTGTTGGAACAAGCTAGCGGGGCCGGGATAAGTGTGCAAACGTCTGCTTTGGCTGTGAATACAATGTATAGCTCTTCCACTGGTATTTCATTGTGGTGGTAATGCTGCATCTTGGCATTTAATTCCAAGGTGAGGTGAGGTTCAGAAGAGTCTCTACTTCATCACATGAACTCAGCAAACTCCTTTATCTTTTTAATTCTATGTATGTACGTATGTATTTTGTTGTTTGAGACAGAGTCTTGCTCTGTAATTCAGGCTGGCCTTGAGTTCACTATGTAGCCCAGGCTAGCCTCAAACTTATGGTGATCCTCCTGCCTCAGCCTCCCGAGTGTGGGGATTACAGCTGTGCACCGTCTATCTTTTTTTTGTTGTTGTTTTGTTTTTTGAGACAGGGCCTCACTATGTAGTTGAGACTGACCTGGAACTCACTTATGTAGCCCAGGCTGGTCTCGAACTCACAGCGATCCTCCTGCCTCAGCCTCCTGAATGTTGGGATTACAGGCATGCGCCACCACGCCCGGCTCCCATCTATCTTTTTCATCTTGACCTTCGTTTTAAATAACAAATTTGTTCTAGGCTATGCTTGCTCTAGCCTCTTATTCCTAAAATTTTATTCTTTTAACTCACGTTACATGACTTCGGGTACCGTTCACCAGATCCCTCGACAATGCTAAGACATCCCAGTAGGCTCCACACTGCCCCATAACATCATACACTCTGCTTGACAAAGCAGAAGTGAAACAGTGAACGTCACACGTGCTGTATGGCAACTTTGAAGAAGTCACAAGGTCCCTTTGAAAACATTGCCAAAGCCAAAACATTTTTCTAGACCCAAGGACACAAATTAAAAAAAAAAAAATCAGTAAAGGGCCAGGGGTTTAGTTCAGTGGCACTGTGCCTGCCTTGCAAGCACAAAGTCTTGAGTTTGATCCCTGGTACCCCCCCATCACTAAACAAGTACCCGCTTACCCTAAAGATGAAAAGTCTTTGTTTCTCACCCACTCTAGTGCCTTCTCACAGCTAACAAAAGAGGTATGTTGCATCTTACCTTGGGCTCCAGATTTTCAAAGAATCTTGTGTCTGCATAAGGAGCTTATTTGCTGGAGTGTTTGCATAGTGCAAATTCCATTAATTTTCTTTTCACTAGAGTAATTTCTTTATTTGGAGACAGGGTCTCGTTGTGTATCCAGGCTGGCCTTGAACTATGTAGCCTAGCTTGGCCTCAAACTGATGGCAATCCTCCTGCCTCAGCCTCCTGAGTGCTGGGATTACAGATGTGTGCCACCAGGCCTGGCTTCATTACAGTAATTTAAACTGCATTGTGAAGGGTGAACCATATTTTAGTGCCTTTGAAACTGAATTTGGAAATGGTAATGGCGTTCAAGGGGTGTCTGGATCATAGCATGGTGCCAACTTCCAGCTACTCTGAGGAAATGGAAAGAGCCCTTTAATGTGAACATGATCAGTTTTATCATATGCGTTTGTATTGAAATATTATACGGGCCAGGGACTTAACTCAGTGCTGCTTCTTCCTGCTCTGTAAGTGCAAGGTCCCGAGTTCAATCCCCAGTACCAAAAAGAAAAAAAAATTGTAATAAATCTCATTAGTTTGTATACTTAATATATATTAATAGCTATAATTTAATTTTTAAGTAAAAATAATTCTTATGAGAATGCAACATCAGAATGTGGGAAGGCATCTACAAACCTTCATCTTTTTTTTTGGTACCAGGGATCGAACTTGGGACCTTGTGCTTGCGAGGCAGGCGGCGGCACCACTGAGCTAAATCCTGGGCCCTACAAACCTTCATCGTACACTACCTTCTTACTATCTATCTTTTACTTCGCTTTTTAATTTATATTTTGGGTTTCTCATGTATGACAAACCATGCAATATTTAAGCTTGTTTGTCTGATTTATTTCTTTTAACAGTATGATCTCATCTTCCTGCTAATGACTCAAGTTTATCCTTCTTTATGGTGTGTATCGTCTTGCTCACCTGGGGCAGACCAAAGATCAGTGAATAGGATTATATCAAATTAAAGAGATTCTGTATAGCAGAGGAATCAGAGTGAGGATGTGGCCTGCAAAATGGGAAACATGTTTTGTTGCCAACTCTTTGGACATGGGAGCAATACCTAGAATGTATAATGTCTATATACATTTATATGTATTTAATAAATAAGCTTATGTCACATAGGTTTTCATATATGAGAAAGGCAGAAACTCAGTAAATTATAGAGTAAAGTCACCGGGGATTTAGCACAGTGGTTCCTCTGCCTGCCTGGCAAGCACAAAGACCCAAACTCTATCCCCGGTACCAATAAAAAAAAAATCTCTTGGAGCTGGGCGTGGTGGTGCACACCTGTCATCCCAGCACTCAGGAGGCTGAGGCAGGAGGATCCTGCGAGTTTGAGACCAGCCTGGGATACACAGTGAGTTCCAGAGGAGTCTAAACTACAAAGTGAGACCCTGTCTCAAAAAACCAAAAAAAAATAAATAAAAGATCATAGGAAACAGTGAGAGAAATCTTTTGCCAAAGGGTGTAGGACCAAGAGATGGAGAAAACAGGTAGCGAGGAAGGGGAAGGGGATGAAAAAACATAATCAAGATGTGTCACGGGCATATACCCAACTTCCCACAAGGAATATAATCATTGTGTACTGATAAAAATAAAAACATACAAAATGTAAATCAGTATGTCCCTCTGGAAACACTATGAAGACTACCAAGAAAAGTTGAACATACAAGTAGTGTAAGAGGCAAGTATACCAGTGCTGGTATTTATGCAATTGAAATGAATCCAGCATACAGTTAAATACCTCTCCATCCACATTTATTGCAGCACTATTCACAATAATATATGAATTCATCAGCAGAGAAATGGACAAAGCAGATATCATTCATATATATATATTTATTTATTCATATAATATATATAAATATATATATATATTCAGCCATCAGGAACAGGTCATGTCATTTGCAGAAAGTTTGAGGGAATTGAAGAATATTGTGTTAAGCAAAATAAGCCAGATATACAGCGGCAAGCATCACATATCTTTGCTCATATGTGGAGACGGGAAAATAAGTACGATCTGAAAACAGAAGAGGGACAGTTAGGAGCCGGGAAGATGTCCTCGGGGAAAGGAACACAAAAGAAGTGAGAAGGGAGGCTTGAAATGATCAAAGCACGACTCGTGCAAGTGTGGATATGTCACAGTAAAACGCAGTAATTTTTTTTCTCATTGAGTTTGTTGGTACTATTTCACAAATCAACCAATAACGGGCAAATGTTGGCGGGGCTGTGGGGAGAAAGGAACCCTTCTCCATTGTTGGTGGGAGCGCAGACTGGTGCAACCGCTATGGAAATCAATATGGAGGTACCTCAAAGAGCTGGGACTGGAGGTTCCATCTGACCCAGCCATCCCCCTGCTGGGTATCTTTCCAAAAGAATTAAAAGAATCATACCACAGTGATATATGTGCACCTATGTTTATAGCAGCACAGTCTGTAATGGCTAAAACTTGGAAACAGCCCATTTGCCCATCAGTTGGAGACTGGTTAAAGAAGATGTGGTTTTTCTATAAAAGGGAATATTACTCAGGCATAAAGAATAAGAAAGTAGAGTCATTCATAAGAAAATGGATGCATATTGAGGCCATACTGTTAAGTGAAATAAATAAGACACACAGGTGTAAATACTGAATTGTTTCTCTGGTGTGAAAAACTAAAAGTGTAAATAAGATGAAAATGGTATAATGTGAAATAGGAAGAAAAGGGCTAAAGGTGTAGGGGACGTGGGAAGGGGAGGGGAGAGGGAATAAGGGAAAGGAACAAACATGAGAAAATCCATTCATTTTTTTCCTTTACAGTGAATGTGTGTTAATAATTATAACAAAATTATTATAGTCGAAGTGGACGAGCCTTTGTGCTCCACAGGAAAGATGGAGGTGGTGATAGTACAATGCACGTGTGACCGCAGGGAGGCACCACTGATGCCCAAGTCAGTTTTCAGTCCTTGGCTAAGAAGCAGAGACAGATCAGAAGTGCGAGGGCGTAAGGTCTCTTCAATGAGCAAATTCTGATGATTTCCTTGACTCCTCCTACACGCGTGAGAGTGAGACAATGAGATAAGGACAAAATGACACCTCAGGAATGAGCCAAAATGTCTGCCTTCCTAAAGAGCCACAGGAAGACACCCTAACATCTGAATCTTCTAGTACCATATGTACCCCCGAGCACTATTGTGAAAAATTGTTAATTATCTGCATGCCCATATTTATTGCAGCATTATTTTTTTTTTTTTGGTACCAGGGATCGAACTTGGGGCCTTGCGCTTGCGAGGCAGGTGAGCACTATTCACTATGGCTAAGATACAAAGTCAGCCTACATGCCCCGGAACAGAAGAATAGATAACAAAGGTACGTTTACCAAATGGAGTACTATTCGGCCCTAAAGAAGAATTAAAATTTCCCATCATCTGTTGCAAAATGGATGAAACTGGAGGACACTGTTCAGTGAAATAAGCCCGACACAGAAGACATGCATCATATGTTCTCTCGCACGTATGATCCCCCACATTCAATCTGGATGTAGAACCATGTTTACCAGTGGTTGAGAAAGGGTCACCTACGAGGGACAAAGGAAGTGTGGATTTGATCTGTGCGCACTGTGTGCAGCCGTCCAGGGACATCTCACATGGAGTTGCAGAGCCTGCTCTCTCCGGTCTTTGCAGTAAACAAGGGTGCCCCACATGCATACTCGTTTCCAGGCAAGTGACCCACACACAGCTGCTGCAATAGCTGTTCATGGTTTACATCTTTCTTCCTCTCCAGAAGGCCGCTCTGTGTCAGAGGAGCCGCCTCTCCTGAAGGTTAAGCTCTACTCTTCAGGAGAGACCCAAGGGCCAACTCCAGAATGACCTGGGGCACAGAAGACCACACCGCCCACCTGCTTGGTGTCGGTACAACTTGATGGCGCTGTTCACACTTCGGAGCTTTCTGTGAGAGGCGGCTGGGGACAGTGTCTAACCAGACCCTTCACGAGTTATCTTCCCTACCTTGACTCCCTTTTTCTTCCATTTCTGAGCAAATCACATAGGCTCCAACCTCTGTCTTAACTTCTGACTGTAGTGTTCAACCCCAGGAAGACTCCAAGGGGACAGCTCGGGGACGGGGTCCGGCAGAAACCCTGGCCTGGAGGCCTCGTGTCCACAGTGAAGGTCTTACTGCTTGTCGCAGCCCCTCGGGCACAGCGTTCCGGCTCACAAAGGACCAGGCCAGCGGCAAGAGTCATAGCACACGGGGGTAGATGGCTTCTCACTGCAGTGCGTAGAGTCCACCCGTGGCCTTCTGAGTCTGGGTAACTTCATCACCAGGGGTCGGTTTGGTCACTGCCAGTCTTCAGATCTTCAAACAACCGGCAGCCCCTCGTGGAGTTTCAGGGTGGTGCTTTATTTAAAACTCAACGTCTATGCCCTGCTCTCCTGACCCCTCTACATTGTTCTGCTTTTATCTTATGCGGCATGTGTTGCTCTGTAACGTGCTGTCGAATCCTCTATCGAAGTTTATTTTGTTCTTTTTGGTACCGGGGATCGAACTCCAAGGCAGGCGGAGGAACCACTGAGCTACATCCCCGGCTGCTGTTGAAGTTGATCCCCCAACACCCCCTTAAACGAGGGTCAGCTCTGTGAAGTTCAGGGCCTTGACGGCGCATCCACCACGGTCGCTCCAGCACCCAACCAGTGCAGGCAGGTAGTGGACCAAGAGTATTTTTTAAGTGAATGTTGAGAAATAAACGTTTTTGTTCAATATTCCTTGCATGTTTATGGAAGAGAGAAAGGACGAGAGGGAGGAAGACGGAGGAACGAGGAAGAAAAGAAAAATAGAGGGGACGAAAGAAACAGAATGAGAAAGAAAAATGGAAGGAAAAGGAAATAAGGAAGGAAGGGAGGGAGAGAGGGAGAGGGGGGAGAGAAAGCTCTTTTCATTTGGCCTCCTAAAGCAAATACTGTCCAGTACCCAAACCTTTCCCTTTTCGTTCAGACCAGGGAACCAGGAAGCTGCCCGTAGCACGAGACTTTCGGCTTAGAAAAGGCTTTCTAGAGGGGCTCCTCTTACCATTTTGGTGTGGGTAGTAGAGTGAGACATCTCGGGACTGTAAGTGCCGCCGCCTTTCCGCATCCTACCGAACCACTTCTTGTATTCCATTCGCACCTGAAAGTGTGAGAAACGTAGAAACCCATGTTGTCTCCAGAGTTTGGTTTGAGGGCAAGGACCCTGGAGTGGAAGATTAAAGATAGAGATGTAAGCCCTACCCTCTACCACTCTCCCTTGGACTTTTAGTTTACCAGTGACCATACTCATGTTGGTCCCTTTTATTGAAACCAACTCCCTCCATTGGAAATGAAAAGGTACCCGGGCCAAGCACCGCAAGGACTTGGCATATGGTGACGATGGTGGTGACGACGGTGAATGTTATGACGGCGTCGGTTTTGAAGATGATGATGGTGTTTATGGAGGCCCCTTTGTATGACGCATTCGATATGAAGTTTGGCCTTTAAGCCTTACATCAACTCAACAACAAAAGTACTCTTTTTACCTCCAACAAAGATGTAGAAATCGAGGCCCTGGAAATAAATGCATTTGTCCGGTGTCACAGGGAGATGCTCGGAACCCCTCCTTTCTTACGGAAGGGCCCCTGGTGTTCCACGAGTTGACTTGCTTTTACCTTCTGCCATGTTAAGAATGACATTTAAAGGTGTAATGAGCGAGACTACTTCACCAAGACATTTAGGTCGTATATCGCTCTTCTGGGGGGAAACCAAGCATAAAGAAGGCACTAAAAGATGGAAAAGAAGCAAATGGTGTTAAGCATCTTAACCGCTAACTCCAGTTACCGGCAAAGAGAAATGTCAGAGAATCGGTTCCGACTTTGTACAGAGAGCCAGGACGTGGTGGGATTTATGTGGCACCGTTCCATTTGATCCTCGACCCTTGGAGGAAGGCACTGCCATCTCTGCACAGGAGAAGACGGGCTCAGAGGAGGCGCAATGCCCGAGGTCACCTGCCTGGTAAGCAACCTACTTAGCGTCAGCCCTGCGGTTGGTGACGAGGGCTCCCTGAGGTTTGGTAGACTGCACCAAATATTTCAGCAGTCCGTACAGCGCGTCGCGCTGCAGGAGGATTACTCCATCTGTCCCCGGTGCACTCAAGCACGGGCGCGTGATTTGCTTTAGCAAAAGAAATAGGAGTCAAACCGATGTGAGTTATGGCAAAGAAAGCTGAGCTGCGTCCCACACTGTGTTTTGTCATGATCTCCTCTCTTCAGCCATGAGATCACCAACATCTTATCTATTTTTTTCCAATTTTAGTTTTTCATCTACAGATTTTCAGTACATAATAGCTACATTCCTCAGGGGAGTCGGTCCAGGTATATAACACATTTCAGTCCTCTTTTCAGGCCCTTCTTCCATGTCTTGGTCGTCTTCCCTTCCGAAAAAGCTCTATCTCCCTGCCTCCCATCATCGACATTTTATTTAGCTCTCTTTGTTTCTTATATAAGAGACTCAGATGATATTTAAGCTTGTGTTTCTGATTTATTTCACTGAACCTTATGATCTCAAGGGGCATCAATTTTCCTACAAATGACTTAAGTTTACCCTTCATTGTAGGGTGGTACTCCGTGGTGTGTAAATACCACACTTTCTTTTTCCATCCATGTGTTGGTGGACACGAAGGCCATTTCCAAGGTTTAGCTCCTATGAATTGTGCGGTTATAAATATGGGTATGGATGCATTACTATAATATGATGTCTTTAATTCTTTTGAGAAGATTCCTAAATGGGGAATAGCTGGGTCAAGTGGATTTTTTTTTAAGGTACCAGGGAGTGAACTCTGGACCTTGCGCTTCTGAGGCAGGCAGTGGAACCACTGAGCCAAATCCCTGGCCCTCAAGTGGATTTTTGAGACGGGAAGCCACACCTGTACCCTGAATCCCTGGGTGAAGACAGTGTGGATTAAGGCACAGTTAGATAGTATGAGCTATAAAAAAAAACCCTTTATTTTAAGCCACTGAGAGTAGAGGACCAGGAGGAAAGGAGTATTTGTTAATGTGCGTATTCTACCTTACACTGGATGCATGCTCTTTTTAAAAAGGTTCTGGATATTTAACCCAGGAAGCATCGCACTGAGCCATACCCTGTCCTCCTTTGTGAAGCAGGGTCTCATGAAGTAGCTACATTGTCCAGGCTGGGCTCAAATTTGCTGTCCTCCTGCTTCAGCCTCCCGAAGTCCTGGGATTACAGATACGCGCCACCATGCCTATCTTGGGTAGTCTGAAACGACTTGCTGGAACTCTGAGCAGATGACGTAGCATGGCCTAGAAATACCTGAACGTTCTTTGCAAACGGAAGACAGCCACAATTACAAGTTCAAAAGGCCAAGGGGAGGCGAGAAGGTGAGGCACCGTTCAGTAAGACTTTGCGGTAGGCTGGTGAGAGAGGCAGTAATTGGTCTTACCTGGCGATTGAGAAGACAGTACACCACGAAGAGCAGAACCCCCTGCAGGACATTGATGGTGGTGAAGGCGTAGGCGATGGCTGATCCCACTGTCTTCCCTACTCCTTCAACCATGAAAAAGGCAAGGCCCCAGGAACAGCCCAGAACAAAGAGCTGAGCGATGGCTTTGAACGTCATGAGTCTGGGGGAAGAGAGAGCGGAATTAACTGTGGTTTATCAGGTTTTCTGGAGGTATTTAGTTAAGACTAGTGCTAACTAAACGCTCTGCATGCATGACCTTATTTAACCACCACAGTAGCCCTATGCAGAGGGTGACGTATACAAGGTCACACAGCTGAAGACGGAGCAGAGCCCATGTTTTCCATGGTGATAATGAGTTCATGGCTTTGGGGGACAACTGACAGCATGAGGCTTCTTCGAGCAAAAATTGTGTTTGGTGTGATGGAGTGGAGCTGTGGATGATAACTGTCTGGGAGAGATGTGCATGTGAGTGTGTGCTCAGGAGCCTTCTCTTACACGCTCGTGTGTAGGAGCAACCGTGAGTCTCCCAGAGGGAGGAAATTGAGGATAAGTGATATTATGTGGGTCTGACAGCTAAGAGTCTGACCCAAAGTCAGGGTCGGGAGATGGACAGATATTCTTTTAATTTATATCTGTAAAACTAACCAATGCAAGATACTTACCCACTCTTGTCTAAGACGAGCCAAGTGTTAACTTGGTTCATATTTTCAATAGATATAGCACCTTACACTACATAGGGTGGAACTGTAAATATTCCATACACGTATTTGTCAGGGTTTAGCATCTATCAATTTTGAATTTAGTATTGGAAGTCGTCACTATTGTTTTACATTTAAAACCGACACCAGCGAGGGTTGAGTTTCTAACGTCAGGAAGAATGGAGCCCAGGAGGGTGTAATTCTCATGGATGAGGTCAATACTTCTGACGTGAATTTCACGTGAAGAGGATGGTGGACAAAGGAGATGTTCAATAATTTTTTTCAATATATTTTTTCGAAAGAAGGAGCAATCAAGTTACCCGAAATTCATAGTTGTATTTCTTCTATAAGTTGTCCCTCAAATGCTCTTTAGCATTCAGATAATTTACAGCTTTTCTTCCCCCGGTGGTGCTGAGGACTGAGCCCAGGGTCTCACACATGCTGGGCAAGCCGCTGCCACTGAGCTACACCACAGTCCCATACCATGTTTGTGTCCCAGGGTTTTCTTTTCCAAGAAGAATGGGACCCATAGGACAAATCCTTGAGTATCACTGATTCTGGGACCTTCTTACCTGGTATCCTGAATGGTAGAGACTTCTTTATTGAGAGAAGAAAGTTTGCTTCTCAAAATCCATAGAATTCGGAAGTAGAACCCAAGGTTTATCTGTGGAAACAGCGTGAAAAAATGACTGAGAAAAAAAAAAAAACCTTTGAGATCCTTTCAAACAACCTAACTTCCCTTGGATCTCAGGATCTTGTCCCAAAACATACAGGCTTCATAGGGATTCTAGGGACATGCTCAGTCTATTGGGTACTATGTACAGCACCCCTCAATACTGTGTGCTTGATTAGGTGGCTTCCACCTTGAGATCACAGGTTTTGTTTGTTTGTTTGTTTTTTTGGTTTTTTGAGACAGGGTCTCACTATGTAGTTGAGACTGACCTGGAACTCTATGTAGTCCAGGCTGGTCTCAAACTCATAGCGATCCTCTTGCCTCAGCCTCCCGAGTGCTGGGATTACAGGCATGAGCCACCACACCCAGCCTAGAGATCACAGTTTTAAGTGAAATAAATCAGACATGGAAGCTTCAATATCACAATTTTTCTTATATGGGAAACCCAAAAATATAAATGAAGTATATTGCAAAATAAAAGACAGTAGAAAACAGGCAGATACGTCTTTTGCCAGAGGTAAGGAGACCAGGAGATGGAGAAAAGAGGAGAGGGATAGGGCATTTTAAAAAAAGGAATTAAGATGTGTTATGTACATGGACCACCTGCTCATGAGGAACTTAATCATTGTGTACTGCAAACAAGCAATAGTAAAATTTAAAAAATTATTCAACTAGCACACTTTGAAAGTAGAAAGCTATGGCCCGGGATTTAGCTCAGTGGTTCTGCCGCCTGCCTCACAAGCACAAGGACCTGAGTTTGATCCCCAGTACCAAAAAGAAAGAAAGTAGAAAGCTGCTTTTAACAACACTAGACGAGATATAATCAGGAAGTTCCCAGAAAATAGGAAAACACATCACCCTGTGCAGAGTAAACATTCATTCCATGTTTAATGAATGAATGTAGGGTTTTTTAAAGAATTCTCAGCAGAGGTTTATATTCTAGCACAACAGTTACCGGGGAAAGCCATGGGAATGGAAATGAGGACAATATTTTCAGGACAATGGATTGGTGGCACGGAGCTCCACTTCCTTATCTTCCTAACGGAAGAGGTGCACTCTCTGTGCTGGGTCAACAGAGGCGGGCACACACGTACGGAGCCATCACCTACCGTGATGATGACTGCCACTGGCCCCATGAAGCTCCAGATGAATCCTTTATCAGTTGTGAGCCAGCAGCTGGGGAGAGGAAGATAAGCATTAGCTGTCTCTTCCTCCAGAGAAAGGACAGAGCATGAATAAAAGCTTCTGGGGCAAGATCTGAACAGTGCCAAGAGCCATTCTGTTTAGGATTTGGACTTTAGACAGATTCCTCTTCTGACACAAGCAGGGAGTTCTTTGCTTCAGTTTCCCCAAATGTGAGGGGAGCCTCAGTATTGGAAAGGTTAAGCGGCTACTGTGATGATAACACTGAATCTTGAAGTAGGTTCCATAATGTCAGTCTTCAGTTTTTTCTTCCTCAATATGTATAGTCTCTTCAGATTCTTCTGTTTCCTCCACAGACACATTTCATCGATACCCACAAAATACTTATCTGGGATTTGGACTGGGGATGTATCACACATAGAGATCAAGTTGGAAGGAACTGACACCTTACCGCTATCGACTCTCCTTATCCATGAATATAGACTATCTCCACCGAGTTCCTCACTGAGTAAGGTTCTCTCATACAGAACTTTTAGCAAAGATTAAATCAAATCATATATATAAAGCTTTCAGGGACAGTTCTTGTCAAAGAATTAAGCCCCAATCAATGTAGTCCTGGTGAGGATGATTGCTATAACGGGAGTGTAAAAACAATGATTCAACAAGCATATAATGCTATTCAAGGATATTAATGACGGACACAGAACACTGGCTCTCAAACACTTGGTATTTTGTCAGCTAACTCTGTCAAAGGCCGTATAACTTATTCTAAAAGGCAACAAACCTGGCCATATGAATCTGAAGGAAAAAAAGGCAAGCCACGGGCAACAGTCAGAGGGCTGAAAAGATTCCGTACGTAAGCTCTATTTCAAGGCCTGCCAACTGCGGGCCACGATCCAGGTACCATTTGCCACTTGTTTGCAGAAATCAAGTTATAAGGATACACAACTTTACACATCCGTTTGTGCACCGTCAGTGGCTGCTTTCCCACTGTGAGGGTGACGCCGAGCAGTGCCGCAGAGGCCGCACGGCCCGCACGGCCCCAGGAGAGTTACACCCTGACCCTGTATGAAGTTCGCCAGTGCCTCATTTTTCCTATCACTCCATCTCCAGAATCGTTCTTGCGGGTCGGCGTTCAAGCCAGAGACTGGCTTTCTGGCTTTAACAGGGGCGAGATTGTAGGTGATGCTTTAGCACACGCACAGCCAACTTCCTAACCCAACCACGGCTACCAAACTGTGAACTTCCTTAAGTCACTGCCGAGGCCAGAGCCTTTCGGACTTCCTCAGCGAGGCAGTTAAACCTAGCCGGTAAGAGTCTCGGCTTGACCCACTTCCCACCTGAGTATACTGTGAACAGTATACCGAGTACTGCTGAATACTGTGCAGTAAAGGGATCCTGCCCTGGGGATTTTCCCTAACTCTCTTCTTAGCTCCGATCTGGAAAAGTGTGTGAAGGGCACTAAGCCCCACATGCCCCGGGCAACAACGTACCAACCCGCTGACTTGACCGGGCCTGGCGAGGTGGCGGGAGCCACTTGGCGCATGGCGGGCTGTTGGCAGCTGTTTTCACTGTCACTCTCTCTGCCTTGGCGACGAAAGCACCCACACATTCCCCCCACTCCTTCAGAACCCTGTGGAGCACGAATCCCACAACTTCTTGGTGTGGGGCCACGGACTTACCTCACCTGCCCCCAAATTTCCTCAAGTTTTATTCGAAGTGTTGGGCATATGTATGTTTGACTAGGGAAAAGAGCTCTGATTTTCATAAAAATTAATTCCCTAAAACCGTCATTCTAGTGGCCTCCAGAAATAGTATTCCGGCTTAAGGAAGGACTAGTTTGCAGGATAATTCACAGTTAGAACGATGTATTTTAAGATCAATGTTTTTGATTTCGAAGCACGCATGGGCTACATACAGCATTTGCACCACGTACACATCTTGTGCTTACTGAGTACTCGTTCCGTAATTTTTGTGTCCGACAACTGCACACACGCTGACGATCACAGCTGGGGTGCCGTAGCCCAGAGGGTACATGAACCTCTTCTTGAATCTGCTCGCACTGGTGTAGTTGGCCACCTGGAGGTTCCTGACGGTGAGGAAGAGGTGCAGCCCCTCCAGGAGCATCCAGGTGAAGGCGGCCAGGTACAGGTAGTGCAGCATCCCTGCAATGATGGCGCACAGCGCCTGGAAGCAGAGAGGAGCGCGGGAGTGGGGTAGATGTCGGCTAAGCCTCAGTACTTACCATTCCCCGGATGTTGGGTACCAGTATCATTTGCCTAAGATCAAGATGGAGCTCTGGGAACTTCTGCTGGCTACCAAAACTCGCTTGTCCCATGAACTGACCAAGGCAGAAATGTAAAGGAATAAATGTCATTGGGGCAGACACCAGATGCACAGCGCGTGACTCTTGCCATTGCACTTGGAGTCTGAGGACTTTAGATTAACCCTGAATAAACATAGCACACTCAAAATATCACGCAATCTGTTGTTAGGGCGAACGAATCCATGGAAAGCAACAGCCGCCCTTCACCAAAGCTATCTCAGTACTAATGAGTGAGCTAGTTTAAAGACTAATGCGTCTCTTTCCACAGATGTAAACATACGACATGAGAAAGTAGTCTATTCATAAACATAAGTACCAGAAAATTGAATGTGTGTTTAATTTTGATCTGCAAGCACCTTAAGTACCACACTTTTTTTTTTTGTACCGGGGATTGAACTCTGATCCTTGCGCTTTCGAGGCAGGCGAAACTAAGTTTTGGCAGATTCACCCCATTGTAAGCTGACTCCAAGGCAGAAACATCATGGCAGAAACAAAGATGCTTAATTCTTGGAAGCCGTGTGGGGGAGTAGTGCCAGCCAGGAAACAGGACAGGGACATACACAGCACCCAAAGTCATGCCACCACGGCCCACCTAGAAGTGTGCTCTACCACTGTTATGCCGAGCCTCTGCAAAGTCTCAGGACAAAATGCAGGCAGATCATCTGCCACAGCACAAGGCACATGATCTTTATTACAACTGCAAATGGAGTCTGGTTCTCAAATGAAATGTCCCGAGCCTGGCCTTGACTAAAATTACAACAGATGTCAGTTAAACCAAGAGGATTGCAAGACACTCTTTTGAAAACACACATTCCAACAAATTGGAAGATCTGCAAGAAATGTATGAATTCCTACAAACATGTGACTTACCAAAATTGAACAAAAAAGATGGGAAACCTCAGAACACAGAAGAAACAAGCAATAAAGTTAATGCCATAATTGAAACTCAGTGAAGGGGAGAAACTCAGAATCCAATGGATTTGCTGTAGTATTTTACTAAAATACTAGAAAGGAGCTAAAACCTGCACTCCTTAAACTTTTCTATGCAATTGAAACAGAAAGAATTCTTCCAAACTCATTCCATAAAGCCAGAATTTCCCTGGGATCAAAACCAGATAGGAACCTTGATGCAACAGAAAGCAAATCCCAATATACTCGTTGAAGACAGATGCAAAAGTCCTCAATATGATACCTGTGATATAGTTCATCAAATTACTAAGAAGATAATAAACCCAAGCCAAGTCAGCTTCATCCCAGAAATGCAGGGACAGCACAACATCAGGACAACAGTAAATACAACCTATTCAAATGGCTATCATGAAGAATACAACGAGCAACAAATACCAGTGAGGATGCAAGGAGCAAAGAACCCTTTTGCATTCTTGTTGCAAATGTAAACCACGACAACCATTATGGAACCAACGTGGTGAGAGCTCAAAGAATTAAAACAAATTCCACTGAACACAGCTTGGACTCTCCTGGCTAGATTCCTGAAAGAGTTAAGGATGTCATAACAGAATGACATAGGCAGACATGTTTATACCAGCAAAATTCGCAGCGGCTGAGCTCTGGATACAGCCTGAATCCTCACCAACAGAGAAATGGCTAGAAAAAACCATGGTATGCGTATACAATGCAATATTTACAAAGTAGCAAGGAATGGAATCATATCCTTTGCAGGAGTATTGATGGAACTTCTGGTCATAATGTTGGATGAAAGTTAAGTATGGCGTGATTTATCTTACATGAGATCCCTAAAGTGTAAGTAAATAAATGATTACAATAAAGAAGGCATAGAGAAGAGAAGAAGACAGACTTCACAGAAAGAGATCAGGGGGACTGGGGCAGTAAGAGAAGGGAAATAAAGCAATAAAAATGATCAGGCACGTTATATACATATATCAAATACCCCAAACGAACACAAGCATTGTGGGTTTTTGTTTTTTTTTTGAAGTTTATTGGTTACCGAGAGTTTGGAAAAAGAGAAGGATGAAGTGGCGGGGGGGGTGAATCACAGAGAATTTTGAGGATGCGTTTTGAGGATGCGAGATTCTTCCCATGATGCGGTCAGGGGGCACATAAGTCATGGTGCATCGCACAAGATCCATACCAGGTTCAAGAGGAAGAGTGAACCCGAGTATAAACTGCGGGATCAGAATAACACGTCAGACCTAGTTCATGGGCGTTACCAAAGGTACCGCTCTCAGGATGTCATAGTTATTCTGTATTCCAAACATCCAGTAATAAAATCTCAATCAAAAGTAACGTAAGTAAAGTGGGAGGACCACAGGATGGCCTTGGAAGCTGTGTACGGAAGCCAACGAAGGCCTCCTTCAGCCTGATGCGGCTGGTCGATGCCCTTCAAAACTGTTTGTCCTCCCTCTAACGAAAGACAAGGAAGAAAGTAACTAATATTGCGCCAAGACACTGTGGGGTTTATTTGTTACAGCAGCTATTTTTTCCGTGTCTAAATCTCAGTCACTCAAATTACACTAAAAACGTGTGGTCTTACTCGAGTTATACAGGTGAAGGTTGAATCCAGGACTCTCTTTTTCTCTCACACCACCCCTGCTGCTCTATTAACACCTTCTCCTCATCTTTTCTTCGAACGAGAGGGCCAGGCTGGACTAGGACAACAAGGTAATTGGATTAAGTCACTCACCTTGGGCTCAGTTCTTCTGATGCCTGTGAGGAAGAGGAAGTGGGCCAGGAAGAGGCAGAGAGCGAGGTGCAGGTGGAGGGTGGTGCCCGTGTTCTGGATGGGTCGGCACAGCAGGAAGGTCATGGCTGCTAGGAAGAGGCACAGTAGGGAGAGGCTCAGCCCCACGTAGGTGATCACCGTGAGCACAGGGTCCTCCTGCAAGCCACCAAGGAGGAGCATCGTACAGTTTTCATCAGCTGCTGTCGCTTTCCCGACAGAGTCACTGCGCTTAACTACTTCTACCCCTGACACTGGTCACTCACCCTCTCTGCCTTGGGCCTCTCTGCAAAATGGAAAGAGATTTACTGCACAGGAGTGTGACAAAAACAACTCTACTAGGTAGAGGCTGTCCAATAGACATAATGGATATGAGGGACTCGTGTTTAATTGATTTTTCTAATAGGTAAATTTATTTATTTATTTTTTTTGGTTTTTTGAGACAGGGTCTCACTATGTAGTTCAGACTGCTCTGGAACTCACTGTGTAGCCCAGGCTGGTCTCGAACTTGCAGAGATCCTCTTGCCTCAGCCTCCCAAGTGCTGGGATTACAGGTGTGTACCACCAGGCCTGGCCTCCAATAGGTAAATTTAAAAAATAAACAAAGAACAAGTAAAATTAATTCAATCATGTATTCTACCTAACCCAATAGCTTCAAAATATTAACAGTTCTGTGAATAATCAGTGTGGATGGAAAGTTATTAGTGAAAATTTTGACAGTTTTTTTATATCAGGCCTTTGAACTTTGTGGATGTTACACGTACAACACATTTAAATTCCTATGCAGTAATCCTATTAAAGAAAAAAGTTGTTTTTAACAGAAAAATACTTTATACTCCTCCAGTTTTAAGAGTTAAAATTGATTGAAATGAAGTAACATTTAAAATTCAGTTTGTCAGTTGTACTTGGTTAAAGTTTAGGTGTTCTATAGTCACGGAGATGATGATTTTATTTAACAGCCCAGCTGTTTATTAATCTCAACAAAAACATTTTTAAAAAAATGTTTTGCTCTCTATTGCAAGTTCAATGTCTAGAACAGTGTCTGGCCCATAATAGACACTTAATAAATATTCTTTTTTTTTTTTTTTTGGAGACAGGGTCTCACTCTGTAGTTGAGACTGACCTGGACCTCACTATGTAGGCAGGCTGGTCTCGAACTCACAGCGATCCTCCTGCCTCAGCCTCCCGAGTGCTGGGATGACAGGTGTGCGCCACCACACCTGGCCTTTAATAAATATTCTTGACCAATAAAATGAGGCCATGTCAATGAAGGATGGAACAAGTTGGTTGTCATATAGTTACATATTTAATAAATTGAAGATAAAAAAAAGTAGGAGTTAAAGAAATTTCTTTCAATCTGAGTCATCCTAGATTTAGCTGGGACCTAGAAAGGCCAGAGAACTACAGCGGTGATCTAGAATGTACACCGAACTCTCACGCACTCAGATGTAGGAGAGCTCTGGAAGGCGATTGGATCACTGCGATGCTATATGCACCAATGGGTTTGTCCTTTGATGGGTTGAGTAGGAAGTGGGGTCCAATCTAACCCGGAAGGCTTTATTCTTGCCCCAGCTCCCCCTTCTCCCTCCACTTCCTGTCTGCCATGAAGTGAGAAGTTTTCCTGCACAGTAGGCCCTTCCTTCCACTGTGCTGTTTCTGCACTGGAGCCTGCCTCCGCGGGCTGAGATTTCTGAAGTTGTGAACCAGAACAAACCTCTGCTCCTGTGAGCTGTGAATGTCGGGTATTGGCTCTCGGCCAGTAGTGACTTAAGACAGTGACTGAGACCAGGGCTGTGCTTTATCATGGGTGACAGACAGTTAGCTGCCTTCTTCCTGGTCTGACCAGGGAGGTTTGGTAGTAGCCCCATCTAACAAAGTAACGGACGCTTTCCGTTCCAAATCCCCTTGGACCTTACTCCTGTAAAGGCTGCCAAACCAACTTCCCGGTGTCTTTGGCTTTTCATGTTAGCTTGAGCTCGTGGGTCTTGAGCTGACCCAATGCCCTATGAAAATCTCAGGGCTTTCATGCAACGGAATCACGGATCTTGGTACCTTGGGGCTCAGAGCCATGAGGACGGCAAAGCTGGACAGGTGGTAGCACTTGCATGTGGTGTAGGAATCATTCCTGCCCGCGCGGAGGCAGCCCTCGGTTGACCAGCTGCCCCCTTCCTCCGATCCTTCCCAGTAGACACAGAAATGTTGTACGCTCTCAACCCCAGGCTGCAAAGATAAATAGTATGAAGGTGAATCTCCTTCCGGTTTTATTATTTCAACTTGACTCGTGAACCGGATGCAGTGGGTTGGAAACCGGATTTTGAGAGCGCCCGTGAGGAAGTCTACCGTCGCCACACCTGCTGCGGGGTTTATTCTTCATCTGTCCCCCTCTGTGGCCATCTGACTTCACGGAGCACTGATGCTTACGAGCGGGGTCTCTCAAGTTCCTTGTCATTGACAAAACCAATAAGGGAACCGACAAGTGAGAGGTCGCTGGATGGGAGAAGAGGGAAGCCGAGGGCCTTTGCAGCTTTCCTGTCTGCTTCAGACTCTTGCTCTGCAGCAGGTGACCGTCTCCTCCCTAGTGTGTCCCCCATGTGGCTCAAATATAACTTTGCCCTCCATTGCCTTTGTAGCCTTTACAGTGGGAGTGGTTTCCCACGGTAGCAGTGTTCGGTGTCTTGGCGTGTCTTCTCCCCCCGGATCTAGTGAGGTGTGATAAACAATTAAAAGTGCATACATTTAAGGTGTAGGACGTGATGCTCTGACATTCACAGGCAGAATGAATGATTACCGCAACCGAATGCAGTAGCTAATTTGTGGTGAGGAAATTGAAAATGCACTCAGGAAATGTCACATACAGAAATCATCATTAATAACTGCAGCCAACAGATAGTGCCTCACATGTTTAGAATTTATTCCTTCTAAAATATTTGTCATCTCCGACTACCACTTTCCCATTCCCCCACCCCCCTTTCCTCTTAACTACACTCTGTTACTATGAATTCAAATTTCTTAAGTTCCATATGTACTTGAGATCACACAGTATTTATCATTCTGTGTCTGGCTTATTTTATGTAGCAAAATGTCCTCGGATGTTTTTGTAAATGGTGAAATTCTTTTCTTGCTACGGCTGTATATAGTTTAATCTTTCTTCCATATTTTATTTGTCACTTCATCCGTTGAAGGACACTTAGCTTGTTTTCGTATCTGTGCCATTATGCATAGCGCCCTGATGAACACAGGGGTACAGATGTCTCTTTGATATACTTATTTCCATCCCTTTGGATATATACCCAGCAGTGGGATTGCTGGACCATTTCTTTTATCACTTAGATAAAAATGTCCCCCCAACTGCTGATGTGTTCAGAGGTGGAGCTTTTGGGATGGGGCCCTGATCATCTGATGACTTCACCGCTAAATGTGCAAGGCCTGCTTGGGGGAGGGGACACGTCTTTGAAAGCTGTACTCTTATCCCTCCCTCCCTCTCTCTCTCTCTGGCCTGTCGACATCCTCGTCTTAATACTTGCCAGGAGGTGAGCAGTTTTACTTTGTCACTTCCTTTCTACCCCGAGCCTGGCAACAACAGACTGAAACCTCTGAAACCATGAGGCAAAGTAAACCTTTCTTCCTTTCATGTATACGTCAGACGTTTTGTCCCAGGGACAGAAAGCTAATACAGAAGACCGATTCCGAGACGAGCAGCCATTGCTGTGACTAAACTGACGGTGTGGTTCAGTAGATCTGGAGCTGTTTCATGGGAGGATTTTGGGAAAAGCTGCGTAAACAAGACAGAGAACACCTAAAGTGCTGCAAGTAGGGCTTGATAGGTGATTTTGGTTGGGACTCAGAAGACCAGATTGCTGATGAAAACGCGGACCACGAAGACCATGTTCATGAGGGTTCTGACCGAAGTGAGGGCTCTAGTAGGAAGTGGACCAAAGGGCACACGTGTTTAACTTTGGCAAATGATTTGTCTATTTTACCCCATGCCTTGAAACTTTGGTGAGGCTGTATTTAAAGACAGTGAGCTAATGAATCTGGTACAGGGGGTTTTAAGATAGCACAAAGTTCAGGTAACAGCACGGACACTGCTGACCGATTTTACTCAGATTTACAGGGTGAAATGAGTGCAAAAACAGCGTTAAAAACTTTGAAAGACTTGCAGCTTATCCACAAGAAGAGGCGTATGTAAAGTTGGGACCTAAGAAGGTAGGAAGAAGGTGTGAAGGTGTTGCAGAGATCACCACCATTAAAGCACCCAAGTGCTTTGCACCAGGATAGCGGGAAAGATGCCTTGAGAGGGCTGGGGATTTACCTCAGTGATTCTGCCACCTGCCTCACAAGTGTAAGGTCCCAAGTTCGATCCCCAGTACCCCCCCAAAAAAATAATTGCCCGGAGGACATCTTGGGAATTAACCAGACTGCAGTTATCACAGGTTATAGGTGTAAAAGTGCACACTTCTTTAAAAGACCTGGCTTTGAAAAGAGAGTCCCAGAGTGCCCTGTTCACTCAGGGCCACCAAGGGAAACTGTGTGTTTGAGTCCAGCCAGGACAAGTTAACAATGCAGTGAGACCCTATCTCAAAATGTCAGAAAAGGGCATGGGATGTAGCTCATTAGGAAGGCCCTGGGTACAGTCCCAAGTACTACAAAAAAAGGAAGACTTGGAGATGTTATGGCTTGTATCTAGATGTCCCCCCAAAGCCTCACATGGTCATATGTAGCGTGTGTAATGTTAGGATTAAGCGTGCCCCACCCTGGGTGTGAGTGCTGTTGCCCTAACGGTGGGTAGCCTGGATGGGATATAAGGGCAAGAAGAGGGCTGCAGTCACCACTTGCTGCTTTGCTGCCTTCTGCCAGCCATGGACTATTTCTCCTGCACGATGCCCGTCAGCCATGGCACTCTTCCGTGGAGACGGCTGACTCTGAAATCTCCACAGAACTGTGAGGTATAATAAACCTTTCTTCCTTTAACTCTGGGTGTCAAGTATTTCGTCACAGCACGGAGGAAAAGTATCTAGGGCAGGAGGCCGGCCAATATGCGCCAGGTCCGTAGTCCCCGCCGGAAGGGTGTGAGGAGGGTGGTGTGTGAAACTGTCACAGTGAAGATGAAACAGCAACTGAGGGCCCAGAAATACCAGGAACGTGGGTGTCTGCCAAGTAGAGCTGCGGGTAGCGCGTGAAGAGAGTGAAAGAGAGACAAAGACGCAGGGCTGGGGCCGCCCAGGCTCTTCGGAACTCACATCGTGCTGCGCTTGTCGCTGGTGCCAGACCTGGAGCTACAGTTCCGATGTGTGCCAGGATTCAGTCCTGCCCGGTTCAATCCCTTTCTATTGCTCTGTTCTTCCCCTTCGCGTTTATCCTGTGCTACGTATCTCGGCACAATGTAACTTGGAGTTAAAAGAATTTTATAGGGGTTCATAGCTAAGAGTTTGCCTTGAGACTCAGCGGCGACATCATACGAGTAACGTTTGAGAAGTATCGAGACCGTCGATACTTTAGGAATCGCTTAGAAATGGACTGACCGCCTCTTGCCAAATGGGGTGAACAGGAGACTTCGGGGGCCAGGGATAGAATGTTACGGTTTGGATCGAAAATATCCCCCGAAAGTCTCAAGTGTTTGAGATGTGGGGCTTCTGGAAGGTGAGTAGATCCTGGTCGTACTAACCTCGTAGGTGGGACACTCCACTGATGAGTCCGTGGCTTCACGTGCTAGTAGGCAGTGGGGACTGCATGGACTATGTAGGGTAGGAGGGCACACTTGGGAAGGTGTGTTCCGTCCCCGGGCCCTCAGTCTCTCAGTCTTGCTCTGTTTTCTCTGTGTCTCTCTGTCTCTGTCTCTGTCTGTCTGTCTCTCTCTCTGTCCCTCCTCTTTTTTTTTCTTCTGTTCCCTCTGCTTTCTGGCTGCTGCTTTTGTCCTTCTGCCATGTGATGCTTCTGCCCTGAAGTCTATCAACCGTAGACTGAAACCTCTGAAACCGTGACCCAGAATAAACCTTTTCTTCTTTCACTTTTGTATGTCAGATAGTTTACACCCGTGATTAAAACTACTAACACCATATCACAGTTCCGTTTTTAACTTTTGAGGACCTTCACCTTGCAATGGCTGTGCTAATGTACAGCCCCATTCACTGGGCGCGAGTGTCTCTTTTACCCACATCCTCATCAGTGTGTTTGACTTTTTGATAATAACCACCCCACTGCCTCAAGGTGCATTTTGAGATCGCCCGAACCTTTCTTATCTATTCTCTCACCTCTGGGTGATGACAGTCAGATTCAGTTCCGCGTGGGGAGCTGATGAGACGCTTTCCCACTTATAGCACCGCGGAGAGAGGCAGCACTGGTTTATACGCACCTGAGTATGTTGAAAAGTCAGGAGCACAGGTTCAGACAGGGAAACCTTGTCTTGCAAACCAACGGTGGCGCTCACAACACGGGAGTTCAGCTTTACTCCTTGCATTCCTCTTGAATTGTTAAAGAAGGATCCATCCAGAATATTTCCAAGAGATTTGTAAGTGATAAGAGCAACTCTACTCACGCCTAAGAAAACAGAGAGAAATAATGTTAGATGGCTTCTACAGCTTAGGAAGTTGGAACATTACTGTCTTATTTGAGGGCATAAAGTAAATGCAATACACAATTAAAATTACCCGTGGAAATCCTCCAAATTGCACACATAGTATACTAGAAGTGGTTTGGGTTGCAGAATCTGGAACACATATTATAATGCCCTACACATTAGGAGGTCTATGTGCAAAATATTTCTATCAATGGTGCATAAAGATATACGACTCCTTTGTCACCAAAATCAGTGTTGTTACACAACACGCTTGTGCTCAGAAGGGTTGGCTGGCTATAGAAACCATACATCTCTATCCTCCGGGCCAGGCAGACACTAACGTGGGGGAGGCCTGCAGGATGTCTTACTATATTTAATTTATTATCTTCAGTTAACTTTTTATTTTTCTCCTCTTCCCCTTCCTTTCCATCTTCTCTCTTTTTGTCTGTTATCATTTTCTATCCGACTCCTTCTCTTCTCCCACCTTTTTTTGGGGGAAAGATTTACAATTTAATTCACAGAAGTTAAATCAGCACACGCAAGGTGCTCGGTAGCACGATGTAGTCTCTTCATGCAATTATTCATGACCCAAAGTGCAATTATTCATGACCCAAGCTCTCACTTTGGC